ACATTAAGATTCTCAAAGTTTGTTGTGTGTTTTTTTTTTTGTTTTGTTTTGTTTTGTTTTTCCCTTATTTCAGGAGACATTTTTGCATGAGGTATTTGAAATTCAGGAACATTTTGATTCTTCTTGAAGTGCAGGAAATAGATTGGCTCCCTTAAAAAAAAAGTAAGAGCCTCACCCTCAGAAACTTAGAAACTGGAATCTGGCAGACACTTCCCATGGTGGTCAGGAGAGAGATCCACACGTCAAAGGTGGTACCTGAATATATGCACCAATCAGCAAAACAAAAACGAAAACAAAAAAACCACAAAACAACAACAAAATAACCCCCCCTCAACCCTCCCACCCCCTCACACAACTCAAAGGAAGTTGAACTCCAGTGCAGTAAAGAAAGCTCAGGAAAAGGGTTAAGGTCCGAGGAGTCCATCTAGGAATTAAGAGCAAACCAGGCCTCAGAACCAAACGATCAGGCGGTTTGTCCACGGGGGGCATCGCCGTTTGAGTGAGAGGAAGCTGTCCTGGCACAGGCACAGGACGGAGGCCAGGGGATGGGGGCTCAATCACCCCTTTCTGGAGGAGTGTAGAGCTTTCTGCTCCCCGGTGCCTTGTTTCTGGCCTTTGAGGCCCAATCATCAGGGTCTGCTCCCCAGTGGGGACCATCAGCGCATCCTGGGAGCGAGAGGCGATGGACTGTTGTTGGCTCTGAAGAGTCAGGAACGCTTTGCCATCTCCCCTCCCCCCCTGGGGGGCGTCGGGGGAGAACCCAGAGGAGCCGGGGAGGCGGAGGGCAGCAGGTTACTGTGGATTTGAAATCCAGGCAACACGCTAGGAGAGAAAGTTCAGCACCAGCTCTTCTTGCCATCTGCTCCCAGCCTCCTCAGCCCTTTCATCGTCCTAAGGAGACAATCCTGCAGTCAGCCACAGAAGCCATGTCGTCTTCGGAGGTGTGGGAGAAAGCGGTTATGGTGGGGATAGAGGGTGGAAGTGCCAGAACAATCTAAGGGTTCCGTGTATCCGTCTGGGCCACGGTGGGCTTGGAAACACCGGCCTCAGATGCCCCGAGGAAGTGAGAGCACATCCAGTGGCCCGCCCTCGGGGACAGTGCCCCGACGACATCGAGACTCCTCGGACCTTGGACCCAGGCCCCAGGGCCCAGGACGTGCTCAACGCCCTCCCTCCGCACCTGCAAATCAGGTGGCCAAGGAGGTCCTGCTCTTCCGAGGCCTCAGTTTCCCCTCCTCCCTGCCTGCTCCGCTCCAGCTGAAGTCCCGGGTCAGGGAGGGGAGAGATGTTGAGGACGGTGGCACCGGCTGCCTGGACAAAACCGAGCGCACTTTGCAAAGGGAGATGCAAAACAACCGGGAAAACATGCCAGAGGTCACCTCAAGGGCACAAGGCACAAAAAAAGAAAGCGGAAGGAATCGGCTGAACAGTGAAATGCCCCGACGAAAACCGATTTCCTGATCGGCACCACCCTCAAATATAGCTTATATCGTTAAATAGAGAAGTGGGGGGTGGCGGAGAGGGGAACGAAACAATACAGCAGCAACACAAATGTAATCTTGGCTTCAGAGACAGTGTGCAGACCCTCCTGAGTGCTGTCGACTCCGCCTTCCCAAGGACGGTCCCTTCGAGACTCAAGTGTTTTGCTTCACAGCAGAAAGTTCTTCAGTGTCTGAGAAGTTACGCTGTTCTGGGTTTTCTTGGATTTGCACTTGGTAAACTTGGAAAGTTAGTAGTTCTGTCTGCACCCGAGAGGAATCGCTCGGGGGAAGTTGTTCTAGAATTCAGCCTGCAGATGGCTCTCCCGTGGAACGTGGACAGCAGGACTGAACGTAGTGTCTACATCTCTTCAGAGTTCTGTTGCGAGGCCTCCAGTTTCAGCTTCTTAGAGGGTGGGACTCCTTCCAAATCCTTGGGGAAGAAGAAGGGAGAACAGAGGTTAACAGCCAGGGGGGCAGTTTCGGCCAGCCGTGAGGTAGAAGGTCAGCCCAGGAGGAAACTGAGGCCCACCCCCTGTGGTTCCAGCCTGAGGTTCTGGCCCTGTGCTCTGTGCTCACCAAGCCCCGCGTCACCTGGGTCCCCCATCCCTGCCACGGTGGCTTCCCTGTGGGTCTTCAAGCATACCGTCACCCACGACCGTTACCACACTGCCCCCTGGGCCTCTAAAGCTTCTCTGTCCCCTTCACCACACAGGCCGGGGGAGGGTTTCCCAATTATCAGCCCTCCAATCTGTAATTAATCGCTACGGTAATCATTTGTACACTAAGTCCCAAGGGCACCTCTCCAAGCTCAAAGAAGGCCTGGTCCAACCTTGCCATATGGACAATGGCTCCTCCAGAGCTCCGCACAGGTGCCTGGCCTGGGCACACACTCAGCGTTTGTTGAACGCACTTGTGCGTTTTTCTGGGGAAAAGGCCCATAGTTGTGACCGAACTCCTAGATCCCATGACCCAAAAAAGGCTCAGCACTCACTCTCCCACCCTGACTTTCCCATTCAGGCATCGCCAACCTGGCCCATCGCCCGAGACCAGCTGTTGACCTTATCCGCCTCGAATGCACCCCCGTGTCCGTCCAGGATACCACACCTGCCCGGGATAAAGCTGACGGTAGGCAGGAGGCCTCGTTTGCTCGCCCTGTGCCCATACCCCCCACGTACTAGCAAGTATCACCAACTCCATCTCCAAATACCCCTGGGCCTGCCCACCTCTCCCCGCTGCCTGCTGCCCCATCCATTGTCCTCACCACCATCACCTGCCCAGAGAAAGCAGCATCCTGTTCCGAGGTCTCCCTGTGCAGCCTTCGCCAACATCTAACCAATCCCAAAATAGAAATCACACACAGAACATAAAACCTGCCGACGCTTTCCCACTGACTTCAGAGCAAAATCCCAACTCCTTACCAGGCTGAGAGGGCCCAGCGGCCAGCCCAGGCCTACCTCTGTGCCTCGCCTCACCGTGCTCTTGTCTGCTAGGCCCCGGCTCCCCTGGCCCCCCTTTTGTTCCTCAGGCTCGTTCCTGTCTCCAGGCCCAGGCACCTTTGGTTTCTCTGCCCAGAAAGCCTGCCCTATTTTCCCATCCTTCAAATTCCCACTCAAAGCCCCTTTCTCTGCCTATACCAGCCCGAAGGACCCTCCACTGTCAGGCCTCCTTGTTCTGGTTCTCCTGAAGCACGTGTTGGGACCTTGTATTCCTCCTGTGCCTGCTGTATTCCGGCTGTGTCTTCCTCCCCGGCCCCATCATGAGCCCCAAGAGGGCAGGAGGGATCCCGTCTCTGGCTCACCCTGGGTCTCTAGTATCTGGTCGAGAGCCTGGCCCACAGCAGGTGCCCAACAAATGTTCCATAGAGGTCCTAGACCTTGATGCAGGCTGTGTATGAGTTTCTTTAAAAAAAATTTTTTTTAATGTTTATTTTTGAGAGAGACAGAGCGTGAGCAGGGGAGGGGCAGAGAGAGAGGGAGACACTGAACCCAAAGCAGACTCCAGGCTCTGAACGGTCAGCACAGAATCTCATGTGGGGCTGGAACCCATGAACCGTGAGATCATGACCTGAGCCGAAGTCGGACACTCGACTGACTGAGCCAGCCAGGAGACTGTGGGTTTGAGTTTCCTGTGGCAGACCCTGACAGCAGGTGTCGCAGGGAGGCAGAAAGAACCCCTCCATCTGTGTTCTCCCTTGTTCTCATTATGAAAGCGATAAACGCCCGATAAAGACAGAACAGCAGAAAGCAGGTACTGTGCCTTCCGAGGATCGTGGGTCCCGCTCGGGAGAAGGTCTTTGGTTCTGCAGAGCACCTGGGTGCGGGGGCAGCATGTGAGTTTGGGAGGGGAGCCTGGAGGGAGGTGAGCTGCTGTACAGGGCACAGGAGAGAAGGAGAGAGGGAAGAGGGAGGGAGTGAAAGAGGAGCCACGAATTCAGGACAGTGGAGCCAGCAGAAGAGCCGAGTAAGTCTTCCTCATGGGGGAGGAAGGGAGGGTTTTTTGTTTGTTTTTGTTTTTGACACAGGAATGGCCACATTTCAACGTCAAGTTGTTTTGCTTAGCTGTGATGCGTTCTGCACCTTGCTCACAAGCCTCGGAGCTCTGTGAGCAAGCGTCTGTCTGTGTGTGCGTGACAACAGCAGACGAGGCCCCGTTTCAGGTCTGGGTCCCCTGGAAACGGGAGTGGAGGTGGGGGGGGCATGTTAGAACAGGAGACCCCTGTACCATTCAGACATCTGCAGGGGAGGGGAGCACGAGATGCCCCCCCAGGGTATGGATCAAAGTTTCAAGCTGGTCTTTCTTCCACTGAGTTCAGGAGGCAGGAGATCCCAGCTGACATCCTGGTTCTACAAACTGTACACAGGGCTTTGATTTTTATTTTTAATCAAATGGGCTCATGCTATGCCTGAGGTTCTATGTCTTGCTTTTCTCATTTCGTGTTGTGAGGGTACTTCTTTATTGACGGTCTGTACCTGGGTCAACCACACTCTTTTTAACAGCTATGTACCAGTCTGTTCTATCCGTGACCCCAGGATTAATTTAACCAGTCCCCTTTGACAAACTTAGGTTGTGGCTGATTTCCTGCCACTGCAAACACATCTTCTATCAACACTCCCTCTGTTTCTGGGCAGAATACTCTGGAGGAGTATTCTGTAGGAGGAGGGGGCTGCAGATCCAAAGGGGCACTTCCTCTTCGGGGGACAGCCTGGCTTAAGGCTCTGCAAAGTGCAGACCATGTCCCGCACACCCTGCCTCTTCCAGTCTTTTGGCTACTGCTCCTTGTCAGTGTCTCCCAAGGTCCTGGAAAATAGTTTTATTCGTTGGCGTTTTGACACCCCTGAGTCCCCAACTCATCTTAGGTGAGCACAGTGGGCTGACGGTGAAAAATCACAACGGTGGCTTCCAAGGCATTCCTGTGTCCAGTGTCACAATGAGTGTGTTAACCCACATTCTCTCATCTCATCTGCGCCCTGGTCCCAAGACAGTCCTGTGACTCCATTTTGGCAGCTGCAGACAATGAGGCTCAGTCATGCTAAGTGAAGGAGTTGGCGGATTTGAACCCAGGATGTTTGCTCCTATCCACCGGCCACCTGCTTCTGCACTGTCTAATTCACACCAGATGCGCACAAACGGCGATGACCCAGATCGGGGTCCAAGCAAGGTGGGGGAGGGGGTGTGGTCAGTTGCAAAATGCTAAAGGATGATTCATCTGGCATTTAGGATTCTGCAGACTTACCGTCCCAGCTCTCAAGGAAGCTAACTTTGGGTCACGAGAGCAGGCAGGGCCTTTGTGGACCCGAGTAAACAAAGTGATAAGGCTAAGGCTGGGTTATAGGATGCTTCCTCCTTCTACACACCCTGTTCCCTGAGGACTGGGCCCACGTGTCTCTTTCTGCAAGACACCCAGGGTGCCCAGGGCGGATCACAGGATGCTCACGAATCCTGCTCAATGAATACAGGAAAGTTCCGCTCTTCCAAGGAGAAAACAAAAAAACAAAATAACAAAAACGCCTTTCAACGTACCCCCGACACCCCAACGGGCTCCCGGCCGATCTGGCTGCCCCTCTGAGGCCTCGATCGAGGTACCTGAGAGATTGCGGACGCCTCTGCAGCTAGACCCGCGTCTCCAGATGGCTGCCGTTCTACTTTCTCTGAACTGTTCATCGAGTTTTCCATTGAGGACTGTGAATTCTGCTCGTCAGAAGCATCTGAGGGAAAAGCAAAATGACAGAAGCTGTTTTCAGACACGTGAGATGCGGAGCCAGATGGACCAATTACTAAAAATACCTGGAACAGGGTAGTTTTGTGGCCAGGCGGTCTGTCAGTGCTGCAGTGAGCTGTGGGGGAGGGGGGCTGGGAAACCTCTTAGTTTTTTTGTGAGGTGGTTTTAACCTGCCAGGCCACAGGCTGGCCCTGGGGCCTCCAACCCTCGCCTGCACTCCCACCACCTGCCGCGTGCCCAGAGAGGACATCTTAGGGATGCTACAGGCTTTGTGCCGTGTGCACCTGGCGCCCTCTGGTGGGCACAATGCGCTGCAACCGTCATGGCTGCTGACTCCTCCCTCCTGCGTTACAGAGCCTGCGTTCTCCACCTGGGGAGCCCACGGAGGTAACTGTCTTTGCAGACATTTCTCTTAATCACATGGGTATTTTCCTGACCGTAAGAGCAAGGACTGATCATTGCGAGAAACGGCAAATACAGAGAAAAAAAAAAAAGTTAAAATCAGTGATTATCTCACACCACCCACAACTACCAACCCACTAACATTTCAGAGGATTTATTTCCTAACATTTCAGAGGATTTATTTTCATCTCTCCAGATGTTTTCCCCCTACATGCATATAATTCTCTGCTCTCCCCAAATAGAGATCACACAGAATTTTAGAAAAAATTTTCACATCTTGAAAAACTCTCTAAATACAAGAGTGCACAAAATGGCCGCACAGCTTCTCCCAAGCCATCACTGATTTATAGATCCTGTTTTGCCAATTATTTGGGCTATTTCTTATGCATCAGTCTCCCTGCTCCCCACCCTCCCTGCCACGTTCCTTCAGCCGTAGCTGGCTGCATGTGGCAGTGCGGCTGTGGAAGAAGAGACAGCAGTGTTTGTACCTGAAGCTTATTTTGGGTACCGAGCAGCCGAGCTCACGGGGGGAACAGCAACATCCTGCCCAGGGCCCCATTCTGCTTGCACTCAAGGCCCCAACAACATATGTCACCCTGATTTTTCTAAAGTGCACTAGAACACTCAAGAATGCTTGCTTTTCTGGGGTTTCTGAGGCAGAAAAGAAAAAAAATCCAGGCTTAAGTTTTTTTTTTTTTTTTTAAGTTTTATTTTGGGAGAGACAGAGAAAGCAAGGGGCAGAAAGAGAGGGAGAGAGAGAATCCCAAGCAGACTCCGCATTGTCAGTACAGAGCCCGATGTGGGGCTCGAACTCACACACCGTGAGATCATGACCTGAGCCGAAACCAAGAGTCGGACGCTTAACCTACTGAGCCACCCAGGCGCCCCTAGGCCTAGGTTTTAAAGCGAGCCAGGCAATATAGAGACGTGGAGCAAAGTCGGCAGCTCTCCGTGGCCTGAAGCCGCAGGGGAGCAGAGGGCTGGGGCTGGGACCGGAGGCGTAAGACCTTCTTCCCCAGGAGGCTGACCTCCCGGCACGTCCATCCCGGATGAGCTGTTGTTCACACGTTCTCTTACTCCCCAAACCAGCGGCCCTGATAGCTTGAGATCAGCACTGGGACACCAGCCGCCTGGCTGGGGCCACAGGGAGGCTCAGGGGTCCACTTCTCCAGGGCTGCATGCTGCCTACAAACTGGTGTGTGGGAGGACACAGCATGGAGAGATAAAGCCTAAGTTCCAACAGCGCCTCTGCCACTTGATTCCTCTGGGCCCCATAAAAAGCGCGGTTGGCAAGAACCACCCTGTCGAGTCACTGTGAGGACTAAATGGAATGACAGAGAAAGCACTCAAGTAGCGAAATAACCCGGGGTGGAGGTGGGGTGTAACTGAGGGATTAGCTAGGGCATAGACCCAGACTCCCCATAAACCTGACCGTTCTTTGATACTTTGCTCTACTCTTCTTTAAAAAAAATGTTTACCGATTGGGGCACCTGGGTGGCTCGGGTGGCTGAGCATCCGACTCTTGATTTCTCACGGTTTGTGGGTTTGAGCCCCATGTCAGGCTCTGTGCTGACGGTGCAGAGATGGGATTCTCAGTCTCCCTCTCTTTCTGCCCCTCCCCTGCTCACGCTCACTCAATCAAAATAAGTAAGTAAATAAATGACAAGAAAGAAAGCAAGAAAGCAAGAAAAAGAAAAGCAAGCAAGCAAGAAAAAGAAAAGCAAGCAAGCAGATTGACAGGGGCACCTGGGTGGCTCAGTTGGTTGGACATCTGACTCTTGATTTTGGCTCAGGGTCATGGGATCGAGCCCCATGTTGGGCTCCGTGCTGAGCATGGAACCTGCTTGGGATTCTCATTCTCTCTCTCTCCCCCTCTGTCCCTCTCCCCCACTGGAGTTCTATCTGTCTCTTTCTCTCAAAAAAAGAAGAGAAAGAAAAAGACAGACAAAGAAAGAAAGAAAGAAAGAAAGAAAGAAAGAAAGAAAGACAGAAAGAAAGAAAGACAGACAGACAAGAAAGGAAAAGAAAAAGAAAGCAGATTGGTAGTTGCCATGGGTTAGGGCCAGGGGGAAGGGGAAGTGAGTTTATGGGCACAGAGTTTCCTTTTGGGGTGACAGAAATGTTTGGAACTGGTCAGAGTTGAATTTTATCTCCATTTTTTAAAAAAGTAAAAAAGGTCTCTGCTGGTGTTATATTCTATTTCATAATACGTGTTTGCTTTAGCAAATACCATCAACTGTTATTGTCCTCTAGCCTGCAGACCGGACAAGGAGGTTCAGAAATCATGGCCAGTCACCCAGGCATGCTGAGCCCCTGCCCGGCCTGAGAGCTCGCGGAGCACTCTAGGGCTCGGTGCAGCGCTGGTGCTGGAACTCACCCAGGGGAAATTATTTTCCTAGGGCCTAAATTTAGTCCAGTGAGTTTGGACATTATGTCATTCCCTGAGCTCACTCAGCAGTAAACAAGTTCAAAGCAAGGTCAACAGCTGGCGACCAACTTGCCCTGTCCTGCAGGCAGCGTGCACCCACCTGGGAGGCCTCCAGGCCTTTCTCATGGGGGCTCCCCCAGCTGTGGCGCCCCCCCCCCCAACCCCGCCCCGGGCGATGCTGCGCAACTGTGCGTGCCCAGTGGCCCGGGGTCGCCAGAGGAGGACCCTGGTGTGGTTTCCTGGACCAGGAAGGCTTTTGGTGGTAGTGGGGGGAGGGGTGGGTAGTGGTAATAGTTACCAAAATGTGGCAACCGTGGAAGCAACAGCCCAAGAAGCGATTCCTAAAGTAGAGCTTTAACCGGCCTTCAGGGAAAGGAGCTGCAGATCCCAGACGTGGGAGGAACGCGGGAGAAAGCAGGCAGGACGGGGCGCACGTGGGCATCACCTCCCCTCGCTCACCAGGCCCCTCCTACACAGCGGGCTCCGACCCTTTGCCTCCCTTCCTGCCCCGTTCCTTGCGGGGACCTGACGGGGGAGGCAAGTTTTACTGGTCTCATGTCGGCCCAGCTGTGACCAGCGCGTCCCGTCCCCGGGCCCGGCCCCCTGGTTCCACCGCCCTCTGCCCGCAGAGCCACAGGGAGCCCAGGAAGGCACTGGGGGCCTCTGTAGGGACAAGGGGATGCCCACCCGAAAGGCCCGCGTCAAGCTTCCTATGATGGTGGCTCTCGACTGAAGACGATTTTGCCCCTCACGCGACGGGGGGCGTTTGGCAGGGTCTGGAAACATCTTTGGTGTCACAACCAGGGGTGAGGGAAAGCCAGGGATGCTCCTCAACATCCCGCCACACACAGAACGGCCCCACAGCAAAGACTCATCTGGCCCCAAGTGCCGCAGTGCCGAGGCTGAGAAACGCTGCCCAGCCACCGCCTCTCTGGAGGAAACTGTGGGATCCGGCCAAATTTTAAATGCCCGTACCTCTGACCGAATACACAGTCCACGATCCTTCAGCTCCATCACACCTGAGCACAGACGCAAAGATGTGTGGACAAGGCTCCACGCAGGACCGTGTACGGAAAACACAACACATCGCCCCCCCACCCCCACCCAAAACAACCCAAATGACCATCGATACGGGGACTATTTAAATGAATTAGGACACACGCACACCTCTGCATATGAAGCTGGCAAAGAGAATAAGACAAACCTGTACGTGCTGACACGGAACAATCTCCATGGTGATTGTTAAGGGAAGTATTCTTAAAAAAGGGAGGTTATAATCTCATATAGATTTTTCTAGGTGCACAGACTATTTATTTCGGAGGGCCACAACACAGGCTCAACAGGGGTCCTCCCTGACGAGGAGGACACCAAAGGCTCCGGGTGCGGGGCTGTCCAATCTGTGTCCTAACACCGAACTGTTTCACTCAGTTACCTGCACCCCACCCTAGCCTGCCCACGGGCCTACCTGGCACATGAGCACCTTCCTCACGCCTGGCTGGCCTGCCCCTTCCCCAACCCATCCCTCGGCCTCTCCTGCTTGCACTGTTCATTCCCCGCCATTCCCGCTCATCCTTCAAGCCTCACTCAGGGAGCACCTCCTCCAGGAAGCCTTTCCTGAACTCCTTAGGCTCCCTTTTCTTACCGTCTAGCACAGCAGGGGCCATGAACTCAAAAGCCCCCTTAAGGGCCAGGCAGTGCCATGAATGAGTCAGAGAAGCTGTTCAGTTCAGACACAAATAAAAAAAAAAATCTAAAGGAATGCTCTTCTGTTCCTCTAAGAAACATATATTCGCCCAACCTGTCAGACTTTTACTTTTCTACTTTTGATAGTGAAATCGGTTCAAAAAGCAACTTAGTTTTCCCTTTAAATGTGCAATAAGAAAAGTAACAGTGATTGTGGAGTGACACGGGCTACTACTCTTGGGCCTCAGTGTCAGGGAGACAATAGGGAGTGGTGGGGAGTGTGGTAACTGGCAAGGGTGGCTCCGCTCAGCCTCCCTGGAAGGGCAGCCACATCTCTGTTTAACCAGTCGCTGTTCCACAGAAAAGCAGACCCAGTATTGTCAGATCTTCTGATTTTTCAAGAGGTGGAAATCAATCTCACTTTAAGCAAAATTGTTTTAAGGTTAAATTTTTGACATCAGGTGCCTGGATGGCTCATCGGTTAAGTGTAGACTTCGGCTCAGGTCATGATCTCATGGTTCGTGAGTTGGAGCCCCACATCAGCTGTGCTGACAGCTCAGAGCCTGGAGCCTGTTTCAGATTCTGTGCATCCCTCTCTCTCTGACCCTCCCCCCCTCGCACTCTGTGTATGTGTGTGTGTGTCTCTCTCTCTCAAAAACAAATAGACATTTAAAAAAAGTAGAATATGGAGGCACCTGCATGGCTCAGTTGGTTAAGCAACCGGCTTAGGCTCAGGTCATGATCTCGCGGTTCATGGGTTCAAGCCCCGCACTGGGCTCTGTGCTGACAGTTCAAACCGGGAGCCTGCTTTGGATTCTGTGTCTCCCTCTGGATTCTCTGCCCCTTCCTTGCCTGCTCTCTGTCTCCCTCTCTCTCTCTTTCAAAAATAAACATTAAAAATTAAAAAAAATAGAATATGTTTGAAATAAAATTTTGACATCAAATTCAAATTAAAAATAAAAATACCACCAGGCCCATGACCACACCCACACACCACACGCTGGATCTAGTCTGTCTCTGACCTCTGGGTGGGTGGGGGAGGGGGTCTCAGTCTCAGTTTTGGTGTCTGTCTGCCCTGCTTCCCTCTGAGTGCTTGTGGGGCAGGAAGCAGGGCTTAGCTGTGAGTGGCGCCGAGCCTCACACAGGGTGGGTGTGGGAAAGTGTGTCAAAGGGAACGGGGTTGGAATTGCCTCCATGGCCCAGAGAGGCCTTCCTCCTGAGAAGCCCCACTCCCTCCCCAAGCACAGAGAAGCCTGGACTCCAGGCCGGCCGCCCTCCCTGTCAGGAAAGCTCAGCCGTGTGCAGGGGCTCCAGCCGCAGCTGGCCCTTCATGGATGCTGGCAAGGCCATCCCCCCAGGTGCCGGGGGTCACCCTCCGGTCCCCGCTCCGCCCAGGTACTCCCGCCTTGGACCTTCAAAATATACCTCAATTATCAGACAATCAAAACCTACGGACCTATCTTAGGTGCGATGATGGTACTTGTGATGAGGGAAGAAAAGATTCTTATTTTTGAGAGATGCGTGAAGTGTTCAGGGACGGAATGCCGTAAGATCTGTAACTACTTTCAAATGGCTCCCCCCCAAAATATTTATAGACAAAGCAAAACCAATTAAGAATTGCCCAATTCAGCTGACATATATGGGAGAGTACACTATTCATTTTTCTCGATGTTTGAAAATTTTCAAGAGTCGAGAGATCTCAAAATAGACAAAAATAAACCGACATGCACAGATTCGAGTACATATACGTCCTCTATGACAAGACTGCTTCTTGCCACCCTCTTCCATCCGGATGACTGCAGTAGCCCTACCATCTGTGCTCGATCACAGTTAACCAAAGTGACCCTCTAGCCCACAGTGCTCAATCCCAGTGGCTCCTGCCTCACTTGGCACGGAAGCCAGGTCTGTTTAGTGGCCTACGAGACCCCCATACTCGAGGTCCTGCCTCCTCTCATCTCACTTTGTAAACCCCTCATCCGCACTTCCCCAGCCACTGAGCACACTCTTGCCTCAGGGCCTTTGCACTGCCCATTCCCTCCTGCCCAGAGTTCTTTTCTTCCACTTATCCACATGGTTTGCTCCCTTACCTAATTTTAGCCAAATTTGCTCTAATGTCACCCTATTTAAAATTGAAACACTCCCCATAATTCATCAAGACTCTCCATTTCCCTTTCTTATAGTTTTCCACAGCTCCTATCTTCTAAAAACTAGACTGCCGCATTTTTAAATTGCCCCACAAGAATATGAGCTAGTCTAGGCATTACCCTGCTTCTACTTGTACTGTGACCTTCTAGGGGCTGGCACGTGGCAGGGCCTCCTAGAGACCCATCAGCGAACTACAGGAGGGCTGGCTGAAGACAGGCCCCTCTGATCCCAGGCCCCAAGGGCACATACCTTCGGCCCCAGGGAGCTCCTTCCCATCTGCCTGGGTCTCATCTGCCTTGGTGTCAGTGCCTTCGCCGGGCACAGCCGAGGTGGGCTCGGGAGCAGGGCTTGAGTTACTGCTGTTCTCCTGTTTGATGGGGGAGGCATCTGCTATGGAGCTCTGGTTGCTGTTATCATCTGCACAGGGGGGAACAGAACCACAGGGTGAGATCCCGCAGCTGCTGGGGAAAGGTGGGCTGGGGGCTCAGCCTCCCCAGGTCTCAATGCCTGCAGCCCCACAGGACGCTCTCCCAGGGAAGGAGGCACTTGCCCCGCCCTCAAGACCTCTGAGATGACCCACCCAGAGCCGTCCCACATGTCCTAAGAGGAAAAGGCTTCTAGAGGCCTGCCTGAACTTCCCCTGCGGGCTCGGGCCCGTGTTTGGGGGCAGCCAGCTGCAGACAGCGGCCTCACACATTTTAAGTCTTTGAGGGACATTTAAGACCTCTCTTCTGGGTTGAAGAAGCCAGACTTGTGCACTTGGCTCTGTAGCAAGACAAAGGCTGAAGCATGGTTCGTGTGTGAGGCAACACTGCAAAAAAAAAAAAATGTTCTGTTGATCTAATCAAGTGTCTAGACCAACTTCCACTTGATACAAAGTAAAAGGGGGAGAGGAACATGTTAGCAGAAAGCAGGCTATTCCACAGGACAGTCAGACCAGGCTCAAGTCAAAACCACTGATTAAAAAAGAGACAGAGAGGGGCGCCTGGGTGGCGCAGTCGGTTAAGCGTCCGACTTCAGCCAGGTCACGATCTCACGGTCCGGGAGTTCGAGCCCCGCGTCGGGCTCTGGGCTGATGGCTCAGAGCCTGGAGCCTGTTTCCAATTCTGTGTCTCCCTCTCTCTCTGCCCCTCCCCCGTTCATGCTCTGTCTCTCTGTCCCAAAAATAAATAAACGTTGAAAAAAAAAATTTAAAGAAAGAGACAGAGAGAGGGAGGAAGGGAGAGAGAGGAGAGGAGAGAGAGAAGTTAGGAAGATTATAAAAAGAAATTTAAGAGGGGCCCCTGGGTGGCTCAGTGAAGTCGACTCTTGACCTGGGCTCAGGTCATGATCTCACAGTTCATAAGATGAAGCCCCACTCTGACAGCACGGAGCCTGCTTAGGATTCTCTCTCTCCCTATCTCCCTGCCCCTCCCCTGCTCGTGCTTTTTCTCTCTCAAAATCAATAAATAAACATTAAAAAAAAAAAAAAAAGAAAGTTTAGAGGCTTAATAACTGGAGTGCCTGGGTGGCTCAGTCAGTTAAGCATCCGACTTCGGCTCAGGTCATGATCTCACGGTTGGTAAGTGGGAGCCCCAGGTCGGGCTCTGTGCTGACCAGCTTGGAGCCCGGAGCCTGCGTTGGATTCTGTGTCTCTCTTTCTGCCCCTCCCCATCTCGTGCTCTTTCTCTCAAAAATAAACATCAAAAATTTTTTTTAAAAACAAATGAATAAACGTTAAAAAATTTATGAGATTTAACAACTAAATAGGACATGTGAAAACTAGATTCTGTTTTGAACGTGCCAGCTTGTAAGGGGCATTTTGGATCAACTGGGGAATTTGAATATTTGAATATAGTCTGGAGTTTAGAAGATACTACTGTTACTTTTGTTAGGAGTAAACACGGCACACCGGGTGTATAGAAATGCCATTTATTAGTGACGGGTTCAGCCATGTACTTCAGACACAAGGTGGGGAAACTGATTTTAAAAGGCTTCAGTACAGGTTGCCTACGATTGTCAGAGCTGTGCAATTTTTATATGTAGATTACATTTCAATTAAAAAAAACTTAACACATCAGGGGCGCCTGGGTGGCTCAGTTGGTTAAGCGTCTGACTTTGGCTCAGGTCATGATCTCACAGTTCATGAGTTTGAGCTCTGCGTCGGGCCCTGTGCTGATAGCTCAGAGCCTGGAGCCTGTTTCAGATTCTGTGTCTCCCTCTCTCTCTGACCCTACCTGCTTCACACTCTGTCTCTCTCTCAAAAATAGATAAATATTAAAAAAAAAAAAAAAAAAAAAAAAAAAAAAAAAAAAAAAAAAAAACCTTACACATTAAAGAAACAGATGAGGCAAACATGGCATGTAAGGGAAAACCTAGATGGCAGGTGAATGAAGTTCATCACGCGATTCCTCCTACTCTTCTCTGCTATGAAATTTTTCATGAAAGAAAAAGGAACAGTTATTTGGGCACATCCTGGGCACCCACCACGTGTAGGCGCTGGGCAAAAACATCACATCGCCTATCCTCCCGACAACCTGCCAGGCAGGAGCTGTTACCTCCTTCACTTATAGAGGGGGAAACTGAGGCTCTG